GTAAGTTTTATTATTTTTCTTTAAAAACAACATTAAATGTTACCTTAAATTTTGGGCTTTAGTTCATTTTATTATTTTAAAAATTCGACTAAGATTTATTAAGTGTGTGTGTTTTTATTTTATTTTTTTATTAGAAACAACGAACAACAATAAAATATCGGTCTCTACATTATAAAATCTCATATTCAAAATATAACAAAAATTTTAGAATCTCGGTCTTTATATTTGTGCCTTTAAAAAAAATATTGAACGCTAAAAATATTCTTTAAATTTTCTCCTTATACACATACACATGTGATGATATATGTTTTTTATTTGTACACGTGATGATATATGTATGTAATTTTATTTTTGTATATAATATATGTATGTTTACAAATATTTTTGTATATATATATAACAATATTATCAATTAATTTTTAGATATTTATCTTTTTGTTAATAGTTTTTTTAACAAATAATTAAATTATAGCAAGGTATTTCGAAAAATACGTTTTAAAATTGATACGGTTCAAAAGGCGTCTGGCCGGCCGGTTCGGACGGCATAAAAGCCTTCCGGTTTCGCCGGCCGGACAATTTTTTTTTTTTTATAAATTATTATGTTATATATTCGAAATAATTATGTTATAAATTGGACGTTCGAAATAATTATCATTTTTAATACATTATAATAATAATTATAAATTACAATTAATTATAATAATTATAATAATGATTATAAATTATAATAATAATAAGTTGAATAAATTGTAATCAATTATAAATTATAAAAATATTAATAATAATAATTATAATTATAATAAAAATAATAATTATAATTAATTACAATTATAATAATTGTAATTAATTATAATAATAAAAATAATTATAATTTCTTATAATTTTAATAATAATATTTGTTATAATAATTATAATAATAAATTGTTATAATAATTATAATAACAATTATAAATTATAATAAAAATAATTATTAAAATAAAAATGAATTATAATATATTTTAATAGTTATTACATATGGAAAAATTTAATAATTATATTTCTGATAATATCTAACGTCCAATTAATAGCATAATGAAGTCTAACATGT